TTAAACTCTTTTTTTATTTTCCGATCCACCACTGACTCCTTTGATCCACCCTGGCTACTATTAGCGCCTGTGTGGCATTTTGCTGCTGCTCTGGCTTGCTATATGCTTAGGAAGTGCTGTTTGTTTCATAAGAATCAGATTATTTCCCTCAGAGCTGCAATATCAATATACAAATGCAGTTCTTTTTGACATCAACAAAAAGTTTTCTCATTGAATTTGTGACACAAATCAGAATGATTTCTATAAAAGATATTAAGAGAATGCTAGATTACAAAGTCAAATAAAAGGAATTTTTATTGATATTAGTATAAGGCCAAGTATCTGAATCTTGGACAAATTGCCAGGATCCGTGTGAATCTGCAGTAGTGGATCCAGTGACATTTTTGGATCGAGACCCTCAGAGAGCAAGACCAATTTGGTTTTTGTTTGATCCTCTTCTGGGTTAGGAACAGTGCATGCTTAAGGGAGCTTTATTCTTAATTCCTATGCCTGTGTCTCTGGATCTAGTTCACTGCAGCTGCTTTCATAGATCCCAGTCAGTGGATTTGAATTCTGTGCATAGCACCCAACAAATGACATTTCTGCTTATTTGTTGGGGATGTTGGGGAGGCAGATTCCAGTCTCCCCATCACTTCTTCAGTGGGTGATCGGCTGTATTAACAGTGACAGTGTGCTGCATGCATGTGTGTATATGTTATTTTGCAAATCACTCTGTATGCACACTGCGATGTTTATATTGGCACTGTGATCTTTGTACTATAAAATTGGGACTACGGAGGCAGAACAGTGCATTTTTTAAAAATGGAGGCACATTTCTTTATTAGCTCTGCATATAAATTTTATCTCATTCTGCGTACAGGATGTCAGTAGTCTGCTCCATAGTTGTATTTCCTCATCAAACGTGCCTGACTAGAACATTTCACATGCAGAGGTCTTAATTACCAAGAGTCATTAGCCAGACATCTTTTTAATGAGCTAGATTAATCTGCTTTCAGGTCTCTAAAAGGAGTTTAATCAGTTTACCTTGTAACAAATGACACGAGCAGCTTTCTTCCCAAGCCTCTTCTTCTTGCAGAGGCCCTGTTATGAATTTTTTACAAGCAGAGATATGATTCATGGTCTCGCCATGGGGTTTGATGGGTTGCTCAATAATTAATGCTTTGTCCTGTTACAGAAGGCAGTTTTCACTAAACAAAGATAGGAAGCCACAGTGATTTGGAGAAAGTAATCTTTTATCTTACGGTGAAAAATCTTTCAAGTTGCCAATAAAAATTCTATTTGCCATATCAAAATTGTGTTCTACAGATTCAAAGGATAGACAGATATTTTTCTTGTTATAGTGCTTTTTTTTTAAAGGCTAGACTTGGGCCAATAAGATTTTCTGAAGAAGTGTGCATGCACACGAAAGCTCATACCAATAACAAACTTAGTTGGTCTCTAAGGTGCTACTGGAAGGAATTTTTTTTTTTTTTTGACTACGGCAGACCAACACGGCTACCTACCTGTAACTAAGATTTTCTTAGAATACAGTCCTGGTCAGTATTTTCATTTAATTTTGATACCTTGTCTAGAATATCAAAATGTGTGGTTTTTTTAATCCTGAGAGAGGAATTACTCTTTGGCTTCTAACAGGACCCCCAAGAGGCTATAGTGAGGTTAAAGCCAGAAGGATAAAGTGTAATTGAAAATTCAAATGTACAGGGCAAAGCAGGTTTTTTAAAGCCCTTAAAACTACGAGGCAGAAATGACTATGCCAAAAGCATCCTTGAACAATATGGTTTTTATAAGGCGTCTAGAACCATCATCAAGAAAGAGGCAGCCAAGCTTCCCAGGGCAATTCACAGTCTTGGAATCATGAATGAGATGTGTGTCATACCCACCAACTGTTCAGGTGGTGGTGAAATTTGTAGCAGATCCTCTATTGAAAACCTGAGCAGAAGGATAGGATCGTGGAAGGACTGCATTTTAAGTATCCTGATCCCAAACAATTGAAGGCTTTAAAGGTCATAGCCAACATTCTGAATTGGGCTTGGAGATGGACCAGGGACCAATTTAGATGGTACATAATTCACCAAGACATGTTACCAATCAATGTGTAAAAGCAACCAGATCTGCAAAAGCAAACCTGGCCCCAAACACACCTTAGACATTTAGAGCAAAGCAAAACTGGATCCATGCGCACACCCAAACTGCAAACCTAGTTCTTAGGAATATTCTTCAACCCCATCCAGAGTGGGTATCAATTACTGTATTTTTCGTCCTATAGGGCGCACCGGCCCATAGGACGCACCTCGTTTTTTTGGGGGGGAAATGAATAAAAAATATTTATCCCCCCCAGCCGCGGCTGCAGCTCCAAGCCTTGCGCACACCTGCCCGAAGCACGGGGCGCCCTCCGGAGGGTGCCCCATGCTTCGGGCTGCAGGCTGCCGCCCCAAGCCTCGCGCGCCCAGCGGGACCTCCCGCCGGGCGTGCAAGGCTTGCGGACACCCGCCCGAAGCACGGAGAACCCTCCGGAGGGCTCCCCGTGCTTCGGGTGGCAAGCTACTGCCCGCAAGCCTTGTGAGCCTGCGGGAACTCCCGCCGGGCTTGCAAGGCTTGCGGATAGCTTCCTGAAGCCTGGAGATCTAGAGGCATCGGTGCGCACCGACCCCTCTCACTCTCCAGGCTTCAGCGAAAGCCTGCATTCACCCCATAGGACGCACACACATTTCCCCTTCATTTTTGGAGGGGGAAAAGTGTGTCCTATGGGGCGAAAAATATGGTATTTCCAACCATACACTAGTGCCGCTAAGTAATTTTTAGACTCTGTTTTGCTAGTCTTGAGAGCCTTCACTTTAAATGCTAGTGTGTTGTTCCTTCACCTTCTTCAAAGTGTCGTAAGCCAGTCCTGCGTTTGGGGGCTCCCTTCATTCTGCCCTGGACTTTTGCTCCCCAATCCTTCCCTGATATCAATACGCCAAACAAACTTCATATTTTAAAAATTCAGCCCATTCACATATTAAAGAAAAGTACTATCTTCTCCTTGTGTTTCTACCATAAGTCAATTAGAGAAAGATGTGGCTAAAGGACATTTGTATTTTTTAAATTTTTTTTAAAGCCAGAAGCTAAAAGATAAATGAAAAGGAGCTAAGATGCAGTAGCACATTACAACAGAGAGAGCATGCTGCTTGGAAATCACACATCCAGAAATGCTAAGTTTGAATAATCTTTTAAGGTGCTTGAGAAAGGTCAAAGAACAGCTGTTATGATTGTAAGTGTAACCGGCGAAAGCAAACCAAGACCTGATGGGGTTAGGCTGCCATAAGTATGTTTTCATGTACAAATGAAGTTTGGTTTGTCCTGTTCTTTAGGAATATTAACACTCAGGAAGCGGGCTGCACGTTTTCTGCATAATTAGATTTAAAAATATAATCTTCAGACAATAAACAGTTGAAGGCTTGATTCTTTAGCCAGAGGAAAATACCCTATTCTAACCATTCAGTTCCGACTGCTTATTCGCAGATGAATGTTCTAAAGCACTTGTTTTCCAGATGGCCTGCTCTCTCTTACTTTCTGCCCTCTAAAATAATAATCAAATAAAATTACTTGAGAGATCTGTATGATCAGTTTGCTTATTGACTTTGCAACTGGCTTCCACACACTCGACATAAATCTAAAATTTAAATGAATGGATGTACTCAGCATTGGGATAGAGTGCTTTTGTTACCTTTTTTTAGTTTAGAATCCATTGCTTTAAGGCAATTTGTTATGACTTGGATTACTTTCCATTAGTTTCCATTCTTCAACAAAGAAGATTAATGAAATGATTGTTGGCAGAGCATTACAAAGAAATGTCTCACCACTTTCTATATCTTTGAGTTGAATACAAAAACCATATTTAGTTGACATTTAAGCCCAGTAATTAGTCATAATTTACATTTCCCCTTTAGAGAACAGATATTGTAAAAAAGCATGTTTGTGTTTGTGTGTGTGTACATGCTGGAGGAGACTTGAAAGTATTTCTTTGGATTGTGCTCTATATGTGTGGGATAGCTTAATACAAAACTAAATAGTTTTGTTCAAATTCTGCTGAAATAATAATAATAATAATAATAATAATAATAATAATAATAATAATAGAATTTATATACCACCCTATTGTTTTGTGTAAACCGCTTTGTTACGTGTGTGTGTGTGTGTGTGTGTGTGTAAACAAACAAACACTGGATTTAGAGCATAGTTGTCAGAAGGGGTGACCAGAATTCGCATCCAATTCTTGCATGAAATTAAAAATGTAGACACTTTTCCTTTAAAAGGTTCCCTGTATGGGAGCTCCTGGATAGGTCTGCCTGAAATTCAGAAGGCTTTATCCTCTAAAAGAGGGGCTTTTTTGCATACAGACTTCATCCACATGTGGAAAATAAAAATTATACCCCTTTTTGGATTTCCCTCTTACAGTCAGTGGTGGGTGAAACAGCTTCAGATTTAAAAGTTCAGATTTTGGCTGAATAATCAAAACAGATCTGAAATGTGCTATTTCCACATACTGCAGATACAGGTGAATGTTGTGGTCCCAGCACACTTTTAGCCTTTATGTTGTTGTTTATAGGGTTGTTGTTGTTGTTATTCCATTGTAGTTTGAATATGGAAAAGTTGCATTCTCCTCTGTTACATAGTTGTCACTTTTGGTTTTTTTGTTTTTCTAATGGAAATATTTGTTGAATATTGAATGACTAACAGGATCTATAGCAGTCTCAGGATAGAATCATAACTGAATAGAATCCATTGGGATCCTGTGGCCTTTAAATGTAGCAAAGCTATGTATGTGGGAGCCACATGGCACAGTGCAGATTCTACTAAAGTCTACTGCCCATATAGTGGTGTCACTTAAATGCTACTACTAGCAAAATGTAGTTGGGTACTATGCTAAAGGTTCCATTTATTGCTTATTAAACTGAAATAGCTTTCTGTGTCACTTGCAGTAAAAATGTAACCCTTTATTTTTGCTTTTTATTTCTCAGTCTGTGGGATGATGGAATTATTGACCCGGCTGATACAAGACTGGTTTTGGGTCTCAGCCTGAGTGCTGCACTCAATGCGCCCACCCAGAAGACAGAGTTTGGAGTTTTCCGAATGTGATTTGGACGGTCTGGCAGTGGCACCTCTGGATTATTAATATGATTTTAATTAACAAATCGAAACATAAAATGGACTAAAAGAATCAGTATATCAAATAAAGATTTGTTCAATACTGTAGTTGGGTTTTATTTTTATGCATATTGAAATAAGGCTTCATATGATATCGCTCTAGTAATTAGACAGGTAATTGTGGCATTTTTGTAAAAAAAAATCGGAACAATTTATTAAATAATTGAAATTGGATTCACAAGTATCTTCTCCATAACATTCAAATTTGAATCTAAGGCATATAAGTGATTCAGAAGCCAGACAGCTCATACATCTTCATTAATTTAATTCAAATAGCCAGGCATCACATACACCTTTATATATTTCAGTTAACTAAAATGAGCTATAATTAACAGTGAGTAATAATGAGTAGGTAAGAAAGAACAAAGCCATATATCTTATTTTGCTGTACAGTCATATTTCTCTCGCAGATGTTATTTTGTCCCCAGTGTTACTCTCCTCCTTTGGTGCCCCACCTGTAACGTACAGGGTGACGTTCAATGATGTCTTGCTACTTGCCCAATGGAAATATGCTTGCACAATGGGAATTGCAATTTCTCCCCCCTCTGCCAGCCCCCATGTGCCCCTCCCAAATTATTCTGGTGGGAGGAGAGAAAGAAGAAGCCCCACCCTGTATAAATGAACACCTGCTTCCACTGTGTTGGGTCTCACCCACAGCATTTAATAGCAGAAAAGACTTGACTCCAACAAAGATTACAGTGGTGCCTCGCAAGACGAAATTAATTCGTTCCGCAAGATTTTTCTTCTTGCGAGTTTTTCGTCTTGCGAAGCACGGTTTCCCATAGGAATGCATTGAAAATCAATTAATGCGTTCCTATGGAAACCGACTTCAGACCAGGTCCGGGGACAGTCTGTCCCCCGACCTCTTCTGAAGGCTGGGGGGGGACCAAGGGCTTTTCTTCCCACCCCCAGCATTTTAAAAAACCCCGGGACAGCGGGGGACTTCTCCGCTGTCCGGGGCGATCTTAAAATGCTGGCGGGCGGGAGCGAAGCCTCTGCTGCTGCCGCCCGCCAGCATTTTAAAAAGCCCCGGGACAGCGGGGGACTGCTCCGCTGTCCCGGGGCGATTTAAAAGCCCCCGGGAAGGCAGGCAGGGGGGACAAAGACTTTTGCCCCCCGCCAGCCTTCAGAAGAGGTCCAGGACCTCTTCTGAAGGCAGGCGGGGTGCGAAAGTCTTTGCTCCCCCCCGCCTGCCTTCAAAAGCCGTCCGGGACAGCGGAGAAACACGCTGCATTTCTCCACTCTCCCGGGAAGGCAGGCAGGGGGGAGCAAAGACTTTCGCCCCCCGCCGGCCTTCAGAAGAGGTCCAGGACCTCTTCTGAAGGCTGGCGGGGGGCGAAAGTCTTTGCTCCCCCCCGCCTGCCTTCAAAATAGCGGAGAAATGAAGGCTGGCGGCGGGAGGAGGTCTCTCCGCCCCGCCGCCAGCCTTCGGAGGAGGTCCGAGGACAGTGGGGAAGACGCGCTGCGCTTTCCCGTTGTCCCGGAGATTTCCCTATGGGCTTTCGTCTTGCGAAGGAAGCCCATAGGGAAATTCGTTTTGCGAAGCGCCTCCAAAACGGAAAACCCTTTCGTCTAGCGGGTTTTCCGTCTTGCGAGGCGTTCGTCTTGCGGGGCACCACTGTAGTTGCCTTTACGGGAGGAATTTGAGATAATACACTAAAACCAATGGGAGCTGCTTGATTCTTGGCATTTTTTAACCTTGTATCTTACTCCATAGCACAGTCCATAGCAAGGTAATCTGTTCCAAGACGCAGTTGTTAGTCCAAATGTGTTCAGGCATAATTTAAATGAAACTAGATTTACTACATTGTTATCTAATTGTAATTCTCCCCAAGTTGCATACTCAAATAATTAATGTTTCTTTGGAAGGAAAAAGTGTGCCCTGTGGAAATATGCTTGCGGCACTGAGAAAGGCAAGGAGTGATGCCCAGTGGATTGCCGGATGATGTGCCAATGACTTCTGGCTAAAGCTGGGCCAGAGCATTCAACTCCTGCTGACATTGGCAACACTTGTCAAATATGTGAAGGCATGAAGAAAGTCTCTGAGCCAATAATCAGGAAAACTGCACTGCTGTAAACGTTGCTGGGAGAGAGCATCACAGACCACAGCAAGCAGATGAAGTGATGGGCAGAGCACTATCAAGAACTGTACTCCTGGGGAAACATGGTCTCTGACACAGCAGTCAACAGGAGCCAGACTCTGCCTGTCTTGGAAGAGCTAGAAGTCCTTCCCTTGACAAGCTGAATAACACCCATCAACTTTCAGGAATAATAATAATAATAATAATAATAATAATAATAATAATAATAATAATTTATTTATACCCTGCCCATCTGGCTAGGTTTCCCCAGCCACTGGGCAGCTTCCAACCAAATATTAAAAACAATACAGCGTCAGACATTAAAAACTTCCCTAAACAGGGCCTCCTTCAGTTGTCTTTTAAAAGTAAAATAGTTGTTTATTGCCTTGACATCTGCTGGGAGGGCGTTCCACAGGGCAGGCACCACTACTGAGAATACTTTCTGCCTGTTTCCCTGTAACCTCACTTCTCGCAGCGAGGGAACCACCAGAAGGCCCTTGACGCTGGACCTCAGCAGGCATGTTGTGAAACGCCAGGACAGGATGGAATCCCAACAGAAGTGCTGAAAACTCGATTCCTTCCTCATGATACACCTCTACGGCCTCCTCGTGCGGTGTTCAGAACAAGGCATTGTGATCCTCTACATACATGAACAAAGGTGACCGCCGTCACTAACAGCTACAATGAAATCTCCCTGCTGTGTACTGTGGGGCAAGTGTAGTTCTCAGCAGATTCCAGTCAGGTTCTGTATCTGCAGCAGTGACAAGAGGAGATATGACTACTGGGAGGAGAGCCAAGAAAAGAAATGCTATGGAGCATCTGCTGCAGCATAACCAGATGCCTTGATCTGCCCCAGTTGCATCTTGGTCTCTAGAGCCACAGCAGGTGCTGTAGCTCTCCAATCGTTTGACTTTACCCCAAATGGTGCAGTCTTCCATTGTCTCCTGAGAACAAATAGGAGGACAGGGAGGTACCAACTGCCTTGAAGGAGGCAGTGATGCCTCCTCTCCCTGCTTTGACCAAGAAGTGTTAAACAACTATTTCTTAGTGGTGAATATCCTTTTTAGAGGCAAGGTGTTTGAGAGGGTGCTGGCGGTATAGCTTCTGGCATGGTTGGAGGAGACCTATTGTCTGGATCCATTTCATTCTGGCTTCAGGAATGGGTGGTCATGGGACTGAAACAGCCTTGGTTACCCTTGGTTGATGACATTTGTTACGAGAAAGATGTGGGAGTGTGGCCCTGCTTGTTCTTGACTTCTCGGCATCTTTCAGCACAATTAACCACAGTAACTTCTGGAAAGGCTTAGCAAGGTGGGGGCACAACACTTCAGTGCTTCTGACCCTACTTCCCAATATGGAAGTCGTTCTAGAAAGGCAACTCTGAGTGCCATGGGAACTGTCCTGTGGTGTAGAACAGGGTTCCATCTTCTCTCTCATGCTTTTTGATATCTTTCTGAAGCCACTGACTGCCCTCATCAGGAAATTTGGCGGGAGTATCAGCAATATGCTGATTTATTTTATTTTATTCAGAATATTTATAGCTCACCTTTCCAACAGAATATTGCTCAAGGTGGATAACAGTAAAAAGGAAAATCATCAACCTAGAGACTAAGATATATTAAAAATATGTTGGTTCTTATGGTGAGAGGTGGTCCTTTCTACTGGGGTCCTGAACCACATAAGACTTCATAGGTCAAAACCAGCACATAGAATTGGGTCATCTTTCCTACTGTAAACACATTCTTCTGGGCTGCAGACAATGCCTCATAGAACTATTTGCCAGATTACTTGTCCTTTAGTTGCAGGGAGTAGGAAGACTACTTTCTGACCCCAGGCCTTTGCTGCAGAATTACATCCTTAGCTTGCCAAGGTTCCCACAGAGAGTGGTAATTAAATCCCTTCTTGAGCTGGGAATAATTCATCAATAATCTTGAGATGTAGATAATGAAAAAGGATGCATTCCTACAGACTTCATACCTTGCAAATGTTACCTCCTGGTTACTTATTATAAGATGTAGGAAATTATTAATTTTCACTGTGTTGTTGTCATAAACATGTAGTCTTGACTCTCAGGCTGGGGTTTTGCTTAGGGGTTTTTTTTGCGGGGAGGAGGGGGTTGTTATTGATAGTATTTTTTATATCTTTATACTATGGTTTATGTGGAAATTGTTCAATTTGGTTGTGTACTTTTTGATATTTTAATTGTTTATGATTACCGGTACTTTTGTTAGTTATGTAATTATTTTCCTGTTGCAAGTTGCCTTGAGCATGAGTTTAGCTATGGAAAGGTGGCATACAAATAAAATTATGTCTGTTAGGTAACATTTGGTTTTATTCATTGAGAGTGCATTAAAAATATTAAGGAGCTAGGCCTGTTATGGTTGAGGAACAGAAGCAATTTCTCTGGGGGAGAGTACAAGGGATAGTATCATAGGGTCATAGAGTAGACCCATTAAAATTAATAGTCTTGTTAGTTGTGGCTAACTTAATTTCAATGCCCTACCCAAGTAGGACTTAGCTGAATACATCCCAAGTTGCATCCGCAGATGAGAGTATAAAACTCAGGGCTTTTTTTCCAGCTGGAACTCACTGGAACTCAATTCCAGCACCTCAGGTGGGAGCCATTGCCATTATTAGAGAACAAGGGAGACATTCAGGCTGAGTTCTGGCACCTCTTTTTCTAGAAAAATAGCACTGGCTAAGAACATGGGCAGTTCTTGATAGAACTGGTTATTTTGTGTGAGTCATGTAAGTGAGATGTGATTTAAGTGCTTGTTTTAAAATTACTAAGCATTACACAGTTAATGAGATAAGTGAGACCTAATCTATAATAGCAATTTATTTTGAAGTCCATAGTTGAGCAGTCATTGCAGTTTCTAAATGTTACATTCACAACCAAGCCTTAAAGCAGCTTACCTACACCACCTCAACTCTATCCTGTTTTATAAATTGTATAACCAACAATCC